CTCACAGAACATGGCCGGCCATCTAGCTATGACATCCCCAATGAGAGGTTGATCCCCTACAATCTCCTTTCTGCGCTTGGAGAACGTGGCAGACATCAGCTCATCTATCTGCTGGTGATCTGGTTCTTTTTTCAGCACTTCCACCTGAATTGGATTGCACAAGCACAAAGGACACATACTAAGACAAAATATTAGGCAACACAGACACAAAAGCAAAGTGTAGGTAGTTAGTATTATATAGGCAGGTGTGTATGCAGTATGATGTGCATGTGTGTGTATGATGTACCTCCATCATCCTCCGCTTTTCTTCCATGTCTTCATCACTCAGTCCTTCAGGGGGATCTGGACAGTAGTGGACCTCGCCCTTCTTTGACTTCTTCATACGTGGTCCCTTGGCTTCTTCTCCTTTTCTTTTGTTGACCCTCACCTCTGGGCATCCAGCTGCACTTAACTTCTGTCGATAGTTTCCGAGCTTAAACTTCAGGCTGTGGAACCAGCCGTACCAACCCTTTCCACACCCTGGCTCTTTTAGACTGGGATGCTTCTCCACAAGCGCTTTGGCAACATTCTCATAGTGTTGCCTCTCAGGATAAGGACTAATCTTTGACATGCTGTCTGCAAGTGTGTCCAGGATATCAGTTTTCATACCTTTAGGAATCATCAGCACAGATCCATCTTTTGCATATCTTCCATTTGCTTCTTGCAGCGTGAGTTCAACATCATGTGAGAACTCTGGCGCTGAAAAAGTACAAAGTTCACAACGAAGTTTAGCAATGGGACTGGTTCCTTGTTTGTGGTCCGTCAAATGTTTTAAAAGTTCCACATGGGATTGGAAGACGGTAAGACAATTCGGGTAAATACAACTAAAACCTGTTCTTCCACGTCCATGCTTGTCCTTGTAATGATTCACTATAGTCTTTTGAATGTACGAGGCAAAATTGCAAAACTTACAAGTCCACTTCATCAAATGAGTAGCTGAGCCTGGTAATCATAAAACACCTGAAACACACAAAACAGAAGAAAAGTTTTAGCTGCTAAGTGATGTGAATTGCAAAAATGAACAAGAGCACGTTTCTAGTCAAGTCTAACTAACAAATTGGATGTATGAATTGTTAGATTGCTCTTTAGCACTAGCTAACGCAACCGATGTTCTGTAATAAGAAACAATAATGAGCTTGCAGCAACCGAGCGGCTGCTAATAATCGAGCACTAAGTTAGTTCGTAAGTATTGCCGCCATGATCAACAGGCAGCTAACGTTACTCAACTCGCACTGGCAAGCGGACCCCAGCAAGAACAACCGCCTCAGCGGTTCTCCAAAATTATTTTGCAGCACTGGGCATGAACATACACTACCGTTCAGATTTTTAATGTTTTTAAAAGAAGTATCTTCTGCTCACCAAGGCTGCATTTATTTGATTAAAAATACAAACAAAAACAGTAATATTGTGAAATATTATTCCAATTTAAAACAGCTGTTTTCTATTTCAATATATTTTAAACTATAATTTATTTCTGTGATCAAAGCTAAATTTTCAGCATCATTACTCCAGTCTTCAGTGTCACATGATCCTTCAGAAATCAGTATAATGTGAGGATTTAATGCTCAAGAAATATTCTTTATTATTATCAAAGTTGAAAACAGTTGTGTACAATTTTTTTTTCAAAATTCTTTGATGAATAGAAAGTTCAAAAGAACAGCATTTAAAATGGAATATTTTCTTACATTATACATGTCTTTACTGTGACTTTTGATCAGTTTAACTCATCCTTGATGAATAAAAGTATTGACTTTTTTTATTTCTTTCCCCCAAAAATAAAATAAAAATTATTACTGACCCCAAACTTTTGAACGTTAGTGTTTAATGTTACAAAAGCTTTAGATTTCAGATAAATGCTGTTCTTTTTAACTCTATTCATCAAAGAATTTTGAAGAAAAAAAAAATTGCACACAACTGTTTTCAACATTGATAATAATAATTAATGTTTCTTGAGCATCAAATCCTCATATTATACTGATTTCTGAAGGATCATGTAACACTGAAGACTGGAGTAACTGTTAATGATGCTGAAAATTTAGCTTTGATCACAGGAATAAATTACAGTTTAAAATATAATAAAATAGAAAACAGCTGTTTTAAATTGGAATAATATTTCACAATATTACGGTTTTTGTTTGTATTTGTAATTTAATAAAATAAATGCAGCCTTGGTGAGCAGGAGATACTTCTTTTAAAAACATGATACAACATCTGACTGACCCCAACGGTAACGTTAACGTTAGTGTATTTCGGTGTATTTGGCCTTGACATACGCAATATCAGAAATGGCGTTTTCTACAACGTTTTACAAAGTTTACAATGAAAACTGGTATCGTCTCAGATAAAGCTTTATCAACCGTCTCTGACTGAACGAAAAGACTGCTAGCAAACGTGTTCGAACTAACGTTACGGTCGCTGAAATGTGCCTCGCTTAAATGACATCACAGTTGTTGCACATATCAAAAGCTAACTAACGTTAATCACGTTATTGGCTTCATCAACTCACATTATTAATATCTACAAAACATGAACACTTACCAATAGCGAACTTGTTCACGCCAATCCGATTCGTCTTGTCTGACAGGCACCCGGGCGATTGAAGTTTGATTGCTTGACTGTTGCTTGATGGCGCGTAAAATAGTTCGTCTCGTGGCTTCGTCGGTAGTCTCCCCCCCCTCCCCCGCACATGCGCAAAGAGCTGTCCTCCACTCAATCTGCAACACGCCAAAGACTTGTACCCCACTCAATTTAAAATGGCAAGTTAATTCAGGCACCTGGAATTTGTGATTCATTGAAGTAACTTATGAACTTAAATTGGAAAATTGAAAACTCAAACAATTGAGTTGAAATTTCATAACACATTATTTTATGTCTGAGTGAATGACATATATAAGTTATCATAACTTTTTCAGCAGATCATTTTTTACAGTGTAAGTGCATGAATTCATGAAAGTTCATAAGTGTATGAATTCATGAATTTATAAGTTTATGAGTTCATAAAACTTCATTTGCCAAATAAATTAAGTTTTATATATTTTGGGTGGTTGCTAGGGTGTTCTGGGTGGTTGCTAGATGTTGGGTGGTTGCTAGGGTGTTCTGGGTGGTTGCTAGGGTGTTCTAAGGTATTTTGGGTGGTTGCTATGGTGTTGCTAGGGTGTTCTAAGGTATTTTGGGTGGTTGCTAGGGTGTTCTGGGTGGTTGCTATGGTGAACTATTTATGAGTTTAAAAGTTCATAAGTGTATGAATTTATAAGTTTATAAAGCTTCATTTGCCAAATAAATTAAGATTCTTAGAATTTGTTGTTCACTCATTATTTGATCACACTGTCAAAAGTGCACAGAACTAATTTAAAAATGCAAAATAATCATATTTTTCATTTCTGATAAATATATTAACAGCAATGCTACACTTTCTTAAGTAAACATGCATTGTGATTAGGTCATGTGACACGCATACTATTGTTTGAATGTTTGTCATTGCGTGCCGTTTCACATATATTGTTTTAAATGAGCAGTTTTTTAATAGTAGGCAATAGTAATTAATGTACTAGTATTTGCCAGAGAATGAAGCATTACGAACGACAAGAAGCTGTAAAGATGATAAAGAGATTGAATCTGCTGCCCTCTAGTGCTTTACAACAGGGACGTTTATAAGGAGTAAGTACAATAAATACAGAAGTCTTTGTTAATTTAATCTAAAATGATGAACTAAACCCGTCTTACAAAAAAACAAAAAACATTTATGAACAAATGCAGAAGTAAAATGCTTCAATATAAAACCATTATGGCCATTTTGTATAGTTAAATACAGATACAATATATTACAAAAGTTCTTCATATGAAATACAATATATACGCATAACACAGTAACTCCTTCATTATGTTCTATGGCTTTAAAAATTAAGACTGTTCAACGAGGCTCATTGTTCTTTTGCTCAAAGTGTTTCAAATGAACAAAAGACAAACTTGTGCATTCTAAACTATTATTATTGGTAAATAAGATAACTAGTCTTGGTAAAGTGCATTTTCACATGTCTAAAATGCCACCAGTTGTTCATTATTAAAAAGAAAAGAAAGATAAAATGATCCCTTTACAAATTCACTTGTGTAAAATACATGCATTTCATCGCCTGCTGATGTTTTACTGATGACCACTGAAGCAAATGATCTATAATGCAGTAAAAACATCTTAAAACAAGCCTCTCTTTTACGTCCTGTGTGTTTGCACACTAATACACACTTACACTGGCACATTTGCTGCTTTTGGACTTCCAGTCCAGAGGAAATCTTCCATTATAAATCACATTCAGACATGAATGAGGTACATAAATATTGATATAACACTGAGAAATTCATTATAAAAGTAGTGTCTTTCCCTTCAATATTAACACTTAAAGGGTTAGTTCACCCAAAAATGAAAATGATGTCACTAATGACTCGGCCTCATGTCGTCCCGTAAGACCTCCGTTCATCTTTAAGATATTTTAGATTTAGTCCGAGAGCTTTCTGTCCCTCCATTGTAAATGTATGTACGGTATACTGTCCTTGTCCAGAAAGGAAAAAATAAAGACATCATTATTTTTGGAGCAAAATGTATTTTCGATGCTTCAACACACTCTAACTAACCCACTGATGTCACATGGACTACTTTGATGATGTCTTTATTTCCTTTCTGGACAAGGACAGTATACCGTACATACATTTACAATGGAGGGACAGAAAGCTCTCGGACTAAATCTAAAATATCTTAAAGATGAACGGAGGTCTTACGGGCTTGGAACGACATGAGGGTGAGTCATTAATGACATCATTTTCATTTTTGGGTGAACTAACCCTTTAATATTTATATAAACACAATATTATTTGCATGTTTCAGCCGCAAAAGTCCAGGCACATTTCTCATCACTGCGGTTCAACTATTCCACAATGCATTTTTTCCTCGTATTCTGCTCCACTAACGTGTGCATATCTTGATGCGTGTTCATATCTGGTTTCTACTCAACTTTCCAGATGCCGATTTTCCCGTCGTCCTGCGCGGCTCCGCTGAGCACGTACCGATCCTCAGCCGAGCACAGCGTCTGAACGCTGTCGGTGTGCGCCACCAGCTCCTTCTCCACCGTGTAGCGGTCCGTGTTCACCACGTAGATCTTCCCGCGGGCTTTTCCTGCGGCGCTGCGGCCGTGACAACCCACCCAGATCTGACACCGGGACATTCGAATGCCATTTGTAATCTTTTACTTGATAAACTCATGAGTTTTGACAGAGGGATGAACGTGTGGCGTGCCTCACCTGACTCTTGACTTTGATCATGCAGACGACACCGGCGCAGTCTTTGAGCTGGATCCTGATGATGGGTTTGTTCAGGTTTCTGCAGTGCCACACACACAGCTCGCCTGCGTCTGCGAAACCGGCCCACAGCTGCTCCGACTGCAACCACATTCAGCTCATTAATACCAAAGACTCCAGAATAACACTTAAGGTGAGACACTACAGGTGAATAGGGTCATTTTTTTAACTAGCAGATATCACCATGAAACGTCCCCAGTTGATTACCTACATTAAGATGAGAAAAAAAAAGTTTTCTGTAATTTAATGTTTAAATATGCTAATTATGCATTATCTAATTAAACATGCGCTAATTTGCATATACTTGCAAACCCTCATATGCTGTATATGTTCCATAAAACTTTTTTTTTTTTTTTTTTTTTTTTTTATATTAATGCAGGTCTTTTGTTGATGACAGCTCGTGACAAATATTGCCAAAATTGAGAATTAAAATCCCAATTTGCAAAAATCTGAGTATTGGAGTATTATTTTTTCATTGTGTTCACATATTAGATGGGGGGAAAATTACAGAGGAATTTATGGATATCTACTTCTGTTATCCTGTAAATCAGAATATACTGTCAATACCCTTAAAAAAAATTATTTTCGCCATGTTTTTTGGAATAAAACTTTATATAAATAAGGATAGGAATAATATATTTACAAATCCCTTTGTAAATGTCTTCATAATATAACTAGGTACAAGACTGGACAGTTTGGTGTATATACACTCACCGGCCACTTTATTAGGTACCCCATGCTAGTAACAGGTTGGACCCCCTTTTGCCTTCAGAACTGCCTCAATTCTTCGTGGCATAGATTCAACAAGGTGCTGGAAGCATTCCTCAGGGAGTTTGGTCCATATTGACATGATGGCATCACACAGTTGCCGCAGATTTGTCGGCTGCACATCCATGATGCGAATCTCCCGTTCCACCACATCCCAAAGATGCTCTATTGGGTTGAGATCTGGTGACTGTGGAGGCCATTTTAGTACAGTGAACTCATTGTCATGTTCAAGAAACCAATTTGAAATGATTAGAGCTTTGTGACATGGTGGAAGTAGCCATCAGAGGATGGGTACATGGTGGCCATAAAGGGATGGACATGGTCAGAAACAATGCTCAGGTAGGCCGTGGCATTTAAACGATGCCCAATTGGCACTAAGGGGCCTAAAGTGTGCCAGGAAAACATCCCCCACACCATTACACCACCACCACCAGCCTGCACAGTGGTAACAAGGCATGATGGTTCCATGTTCTCATTCTGTTTACGCCAAATTCTGACTCTAACATCTGAATGTCTCAACAGAAATCGAGACTCATCAGACCAGGCAACATTTTTCCAGTCTTCAACTGTTCAATTTTGGTGAGCTCTTGCAAATTGTAGCCTCTTTTTCCTATTTGTAGTGGAGATGAGTGGTACCCGGTGGAGTCTTCTGCTGTTGTAGCCCATCCGCCTCAAGGTTGTGCGTGTTGTGGCTTCACAAATGCTTTGCTGCATACCTCGGTTGTAACGAGTGGTTATTTCAGTCACTGTTGCCCTTCTATCAGCTCGAACCAGTCTGGCCATTCTCCTCTGACCTCTGGCATCAACCAGGCATTTCCGCCCACAGAACTGCCGCTCACTGGATGTTTTTTCTTTTTCGGACCATTCTCTGTAAACCCTAGAGATGGTTGTGCGTGAAAATCCCAGTAGATTAGCAGTTTCTGAAATACTCAGACCAGCCCTTCTGGCACCAACAATCATGCCACGTTCAAAGTCACTCAAATCACCTTTCTTCCCCATACTGATGCTCGGTTTGAACTGCAGCAGATTGTCTTGACCATGTCTACATGCCTAAATGCACTGAGTTGCCGCCATGTGATTGGCTGCTTAGAAATTAAGTGTTAACGAGCAGTTGGACAGGTGTACCTAATAAAGTGGCCGGTGAGTGTAGGTCCTACTGAAGTTGAGATTTTTTTAGAAAAGGGGCTTTAAAGATTTAGCATCAGCCAATGAGATTGTACATTTAGAGTTAAATCCCCCCTTTTACTTTCACGATTGGTTGCTGATAAAAAGGAAATGGCCATATTCGGATCTGACAGCGTTGTACAGGAGAGAGAGAGCTTTCTAACGGTGTGTGTGATGACAGGGTGCAGATCGCGAACTAGAACGCCAACTTTTGATGAATTTATGAGAAATCTACAGACGCAAACAGACAAAGTGTTGTAAAATAAAGACCTAAATGTGTATTTCGGACTTTTTTTCACCACAAGTATGAAAGAAGACATGTTATTGAAGACAAATATCCCAAAATCTCAAAATTGACCAGTAAAAAAAAAAAAAAAAAAAATGTTTTGCCTGCCGTTTCTCGACTTAAAGGTCTTTGTAAATACTCACATTTTGGTAGAACTTTATTTTACAGTCCTGTTTCCCATGTACATGCTATGAACTTATTATAGAAATTGTAATATGTGGATAATAACTACCGGTAGGTACTAACCCTGAACCTACCCTTAACCCATGTACCTTATATTACCAGTACGATGGAGCGAATTATGTGCCATAATTAAACAAACAAATCCAGCATTTTGCAAACAAACTCGATCTGCTTTGCAAAGGAAAACTCGACTCGCAAACAAACAAAGCAATTTGCAAAAATAAAGGTCAATTTGAGCTAAAATGCAGTGGAGTAACCAATATTGTGTTTTACAAATATAAATAAATGAGCCTAGATAATATTTCACAAGTAAATACAAACCATCCTACAAATTGCATGTAACCTTTGAACAAATACCAAATCTAGAGCATATCTGTCTGACATGATTGTGAGATCTCTCGGCTCGATTTTCTCACAAATGTGTCCAGGCAGATTTTCTCACAAATGCAGTTGAGTAACTTCCTCTCCTAAAACAGCAGATGGCGCTAAAATAGGGGATTCATTTTACTTTATTTATTATAAACATCTTGAGGTTTTCCAGATCGAGTTTGTTTGAGAGTCGAGTTTTCCTTTGCAAAGCAGATCGAGTTTATTTGCAAAATGCTGGATTTGTTTGTTTAATTATGGCACATAATTCGCTCCATACAATACTTTCTTAGGTAAGTACACAATAAAGTGCAACCCAAATAGTCACATAGAGCACTGCAGACGCAGTGATGATGATGTATTTGTGAAGTTAACATCACTCTGGTTCCCTCGACAAAAACCCAACAGGATTTTTCCTGTTGGGAAACAGTGATTAACTAAGTTTTAATCTTGTTCATCATGATAATGTTCACAAAAAGAATTTTGAACCTTAAATACAATTACCAGAAGTACGCTAAACTTAGGCTATAAACAAACTACACCACAGTCACATGACTTCCTACACACAACATCTATTTCAGTCTTTATTTAAGATAATGTTCCCTGAAAGCTTGGTTTAGAATAGTTTGCAAAGGCAGAGGGTGAACCAACTCTAAGGCTAAGGAGATGCGCTTCCCCTTAAAAACACACGCTTCCCTGTAATAGTTTCAATTTAAATGTCGCCGTCGCGATCACACAAACTTCTGTTATAATAAATGAAGCTGACTGCACAATGAATCTCTTATTTGGATAATGTCTACATTGCATTTTACATTATAGGATTTGCGAGCGTGCAGAACTCAGAAGACACACGAGTGTGCAGAAAAAATGTTTTGTTCAGAAAGTTCAGTGCAATCTTAATTACTCTCCCTCATGTTGTTCAACCCCGTAAGACTTTCGTTCATCTTCAGAACACAAATTAAGATATTTTTGATTAAATCTGAGAGCTGGATCACTCCTCCATAGGCTTCTTAAGGGATTGAAACTGGCCGGCCCAGAAAAGTTATTAAAGACATCGTTAAAATAGTCCGAGTGACTACAGTGGCTCAACCTTAAGTTTATCAAGCGACGAGAATACTTTTTGTGCGCAAAAAACAAACAAAAATAACGACTTTATTCAACTATTTATTTCCTTCTCTGTGGGCCTCGAGTGAGTTCTCGTAGTGTAACAGCGCAGCGCTTCTGGGTTGTACGTCTAAAATGCGACTAAAACGTCATTTTTTCCTCTCGCGATCAGTCATTACAAAAATCATGGCGACGGACATTGGTTGGTAATATATATCCGAGCCACCGCACTAGACATTATAATTATTATTATTAGAGACGTGGCGTGTTACCCAAGCATTAATGGCAAGACCCTTATACTGTGAGCGGCACATATGAGGTGTTTCTCCCTCATTTCTGCTCCGAGGTCGTGATTGTGGCATTTCTTTGAGGTTTAGAATCCAATATTCCTGTAATTCTTTTTTCTTTTATGAATTTAATAAAGAACTCCGTCTCGTATTCTGTCCAAACACACGACGCCCTTCTAAGTCAGGCGACTGTAAATGCGCAAAAACTGTTTCCATTGCAGTTTGCCGAAATATTCCTTTTTCGAATTGCCTATAAAACCACCTCATGCGAGCGTAAAAAAAAAAAGTTTTTGCGATAATCGGGAGTTTTTGCGAAATTGACGTGTTTCAATTGTGCGTATTTTCAATTCACGCAATTCGAAGGGTAATGGAAACACGGCTAATCATGTCATCTATATTGCAGGAAAAACTCAAAACACCATAGCAACTTTTTGAGAATCTCTTTTCTTGCGAATCATCAGAGCTTGTCCCATCACAGCTCATCAGAGAGGCCGAGAGCCATTAAAACAGCTCGTAAATGACCTCACACGTGCGATCCATTAACCTAACGAGTCCTGAAGCCCAGCTGGACGGACACAGAGAACCGGACGAGCTGTGAAACAGAGTCTAGCCGTGGGGAAATGTCAACCCGCTGGTTTTTACCTCATTAAAGAGCAGGAAACTGCTGAAGCCCCTCGGTGAACCCAGCAGGTGATCTGGAAGAGACATCTTACGATGAACCGTGCCGTTCCTGCGCACTTCCATCACACAATCACGCCCACCTTTGACACAAATAAAGTTTGTAATGCAACTGAAAACAACGTTTCTTTAACAATCAATTAATCACAATCAACACTCAAATGAAAACAGAGTTGCATATAAACATTCAAACTGCACATAAGGCAGTTTTTACGTATGATATAATAGTGTCTACTCCGCCATTTAAACAGTGGCTGTAATAAACACTTGTTTTCATTACAGATTTATTCAAAATAATGACATCAAGATAAGGGCTGTCACTTTACGTACGAAAATCGATTGCACAATCGATCGGACCAATCAACACAAGTTTCGAAAAAGAAAATAGGGAATCGATTTTAACGGCCTTTTTTTTTTTTTTACCAAAAATGTGTTTTAGGTGGACAGATCAATACAGTACACAGAACATGTAGGATGTTGGAAAATAACAATGTCTTTTCTGTTAACCAAATGCTTTTTAATATTCGCTATTACTTCAATGCAAGTGAACAAGCGCGCCGTTATTTGTTGCTTAGGGTGTACTCACACCTGCCTTGTTTGGTTCGATTGAATCAAACTCTAGTTCGTTTCCCCCCTTGGTGCGGACCTTTTGGGCAGGTGTGAATACAGCAATCGAACTCGGGTGCGGACCAAACAACCGAACCGAGACCCAGCTGAAGAGGTGGTCTCGGTACGCTTCCAAACGAACTCTGGTACGGTTCGTTTACGGTGTGAACATGAACCGACCCAATTGCAAGAAAGCACTGCGCCTTTGAGTTAACAGGCTTCCGTAGTCGGAGATTTTGGCATTATGGTTTGTGTTATTGTTCAAGTGCGAAAGAGAATTCCATTCCGGCGTGTGAACATAGCGCCTCTCTATGAATGAAAACTTTATACCTTATCCGTCTTCTGCGCAGTTTATTCATATTGCGTTTGTACAGAATATAACACAAAATTAGTCAAATAACAAATATTGCAGTACGAAATAATCTCCATGCTGAGCCTTTTTTGCACTTCCTGATTTCCCTACTTGAGAATCCTTGTCCAATGAATGGACGACCTTAGCACACGTGTGGTTTTGTTTACAAATTTTGGTTCACTTGCAAAAAGAGCAGTGTGAAAGCGAACCGTACCAAAAAAAAAAAAAAAAGATTATTTGGTCCGGACCAAAGCAAGTGAACTATCGGACTTTCCTGGTGTGAATACACCCTTAGTGACGTGTGTTCAAGTACGCCAGAAATGCACAGATTCTGTATTTAATATATATCATCATGAGGACTCACGAGTTGCTTATTTGCGCAAAATCCGTGCAGATTTGTCTTACACGAACTTCCCCAGCAAAGTGAGTAAACATAGAAACACGCCAGATTGGCTCGTGATTTGACAGCGTTACTCGCCAAAGTTCATTTTTACCCGCATTTGTCGGGTCGAGGGTGTTAATTTCAATCCCTGAATGTTGCGCTTTTTCTCCACCTGAGCAAAAATATTCTTTATACCTGACCTGTACAGCATGTAGAAACACAATGGTTTCAACATTCAGTTGTAACTTTTAACTTGAATGTGCCATTTCTATTTTATTTGACCCTTGATGTAACTTATTGGTATTAAATCATATTTTCGAAAAACAAGCTTCTTAACAAATGAAGAAGTCACTAAATGAAGCACATTTTAGGTTACCTGATATTTTTTTACAGTGCTGTTAACTGTACAGTCTTTACCAAGAAATCCTATGAAAAATAATTTAAAAAATCTTCTGCAGGACAGTTCAATTCTTTACAATAATAGAATATAGTAAAAAAGAAAAGTAAGCTGTTACACCGAGATGGTTTGGGAAAACCATAAAGTGTTTTTGACAGTCAATTAATTGTGTACAGGAAGCATTCTTTAGCAGGGGGTTTCAAACTTTTTAATGGCAAGGAGCCCTAAACAATACCCTTGTGAGATTCTTTATTTAGGCTTATAATATAATAAAATATAGGCATAATATAATATAAAAAAAAAACGAATTGAAGTATTTGAAGTGATATAATATATCAGTTTAAATGCTTAAATTTGTTAACATATTATATTGTTATGAAAACAAAGCATTTAAATAGATCTAATAGCTAAATATTTTCAAGAAAAATGAATATAATCTAATCTTTTATAATCTAACCATCCCTGAAACTCCCCCACAGACAAAAACATCTATTTAAACTATGCATTTTGAATTTGCACGCGGGTGGGTGTGTAATTGTTACCGTTCTGTGTCCATAACCGTTATTTCCACCACTTTAATCAAACCACTCTTCTTTAAAACATTATGATTTTATTTTATTTCACATGTCTTTGCGTTTCTCGTTGCCTCTCGTATTGAGCTATTTGGTCCGCACACACGACTCACTGCCAATCACACGTGCTCACATCATTCTCTTTCTATGAAACCTGTAAACTGCATTCACCAGTTTTCTCTCTATAGCGGTTGACCAGAGCACTGCAATTATTTCTCACTTAAACTACAATCAAATGGATTTCCCCACACGTTTCGCGTCAGTCCTCTGTGTGTCATTTTATTCTTTTCTGCGCGGCCGCCGCTTAGAAGTGCGCGGCCGAGGCATCAGAAGTGCGCGGCCGAGCACGCGCGCAGCTTAGAGGGAACATTGGTCTCAAGCGCCCTCTTTACGTTCGTCCTAATGCCCGTTAGGTGTCCGTGGATTTGCCTATATTTGGTGTTGAAAATGGAAACGTCTTTAGACATGGAAAATCTATTTTACAATCGATTCAATGAACACTTATGTCTCAAAAATCGAACAGTATTTTTTCACAAAAGTGACAGCCCTAATCAGGATAAGTAAAAAAAAAAAAAAAAAAAAAAAAAAAAAAAATATGTAATACAGTGCACATATTTGTCAAAATTCTCCTCTCTAGAGCTATTATTCTATTTGACCATCAAGCTATGGTCACTGAATGGCTTTTCTGAGGTAAATGTGACATTACAGGAAAATTTCAGTGCATGATTTAGGCACAACAAAACTCTTTAGACCGAAATCAAAAATTAATTTCGTCTGGATTTTCTTGTTTGTAGAAATTTCGAGATGGTTCTCAATGCAGAACATGAAATCCACGGGGAGGAGTCGGATCCAGATCCAACTCCTCCCACCTTACATATACCTAAACCTACCCATCTCAGCCCCCTAATCCCTAAACCCACCCCTGATCCCTAAACCCACCCCTAAACCTACCCATCTCCACCCCCTGATCCCTAAACCCACCCCTAAACCCTAAACCCACCCCTAAACCTACCCATCTCCGCCCCCTGATCCCTAAACCCACCCCTAATCCCTAAACCCACCCCTAATCCTACCCATCTCCGCCCCCTGATCCCTAAACCCACCCCTAATCCCTAAACCCACCCCTAATCCTACCCATCTCCGCCCCCTAATCCCTAAACCCACCCCTAATCCCTAAACCCACCCCTAATCCTACCCATCTCCGCCCCCTGATCCCTAAACCCACCCCTAATCCCTAAACCCACCCCTGATCCCTAAACCCACCCCAATCCCTAAACCCACCCCTAATCCCTAAACCCACCCCTAATCCTACCCATCTCCGCCCCCTGATCCCTAAACCCACCCCTAATCCCTAAACCCACCCCTAATCCCTAAACCCACCCCTGATCCCTAAACCCACCCCAATCCCTAAACCCACCCCTAATCCCTAAACCCACCCCTAATCCTACCCATCTCCGCCCCCTGATCCCTAAACCCACCCCTAATCCCTAAACCCACCCCTAATCCTACCCATCTCCGCCCCCTGATCCCTAAACCCACCCCTAATCCCTAAACCCACCCCTGATCCCTAAACCCACCCCTAATCCCTAAACCCACCCCTAATCCCTAAACCCACCCCTAATCCTACCCATCTCCACCCCTTGGATCTTGATCCGACTCCTCCCCGTGGATCTCATGTACTGCATTGAGGTGCTACTGGAAATTTCCCTGCATCAAAAAAAAAAAAAAGCCCTTATAATATAATGCTAGGCGAGGCAGACTCACAGCACCACAGCATGCCGTTGTGGATCTGGATGGACTGCAGTCTGTCACAGGAGACTCTGAACTGCCGTCGGACCTGCAGAGAGGACACGTCCCACACGTTCACGCTGCCATCTTCCCCGCACGAGTACGCCACCGTCTGACTGGAACGGCCATCGGGGAAAAACATCTCTTCATTTAGCACTGATATGGGTTAATGACTGTTCTGCTTTGTCTTTGTTACCTGAATTTGTCGGTTCTCTCCTCCAGGGTGAGTCCGGTGACCTCGCCGCGATGCTCCGTCAGCTGCTTATTGCACGACACGCTCCGCGGGTTTATGATGTAAATGAACGAATCCTTTGAGCCGATCCACAGCTGATGCTGGTTCACTGCAAGCATGCAGTTCTGACAGGAGAGGAGAAACGTGCGTTAATACAGTAACCAGTAGGGGGCGACACTACTATGCCAGCTATGACGAGAAGCATCACTGTAACGAAATGCCCTGAGAGTCCGAGACACGAAGGTTGAGGATCCAAATGCAGTGCTTTAATGAAAGGGTAATCCGCAATCGTAGTAAAAGACAGGCAAAAGGTCAGAGCACAGTAAATCAGTCCAATCAAACAAACAAATCCAGAGGGTGACACAGGAACGGAAAAACAGGACACAGGAAAAAAGGGGAATCCAAGAAACAAAAAGATAAGACACAGGTGAAAACAATGAGTGCTAATAATGAGTCCAGGCTGTGAGGCAATTGCTGCGTCCCAATTCGCATACTATCCATCCTAAATAGTATTCGAAAATAGAATTAGCACATCCCAAATAGTAGTATGTTTAAATGAGTGAGAAAGTGATGCCCCGTTTACACGAAGGGAAGACGCAGATATTTCCCTGCGGTTTCGCCTCTCATTTCCACGAAAACCCTGTTTTTATCACAGAAAACGATTATTTCTAAAAAACTCCGGCCAAAGTGGAGATTTCTGATAACGCCGGTTATGTGTTGCCGTGTCAACCGGGAGAAACAGGGTTTTAGGTTCTCAAACGTCACATTATGCGCCAGAAAATGCTTAACGTCATGTGATCGCCCAGTTTGGAAACAATGAGCGCTGATGAGTCCAGGCTGTGAGGGAATGACAGTAGTCTGTAGTAGTAGACAGTAGACATGACTAATAATGTGATGGAATAAAATCCCCAAAAATATGTCATAAATGTGGCCTGAATATACAACAGAAAGCCTTTGTCACATTATGCACTACCGTTCAACAGTTTGGAGTCAGTAAGATTTTTTTTTTTTAAGAAATAAAAGAAATGTATAGTTTTATTCAGCAAAGACACATTAAATTGATCAAAAGTGAGAGTAAATACATTTATAATGTTACAAAAGATTTCTATTTCAGACTAATGCTGTTCTTTTAAACTTTCTATTCATCTAAGAATCCTGAAAAAAATAAATCATGGTTTCCACAAAAGTATTTCAACATTGATAATAATAATAAGAGACATTAATAATAATGCAGCAGCAAATCATCATATTAGAGTGATTTCTGAATGATCATGTGACACTGAAGACTGGAGTAATGATGCTGAAAATTCAGCTTTGATCACAGAAATAAATGACACTTTACTATATATTCACATAGAAAACAGCTGTTTTAAACTGTAATAATATTTCACAATATTACGGTTTTATTAAATTTTGAAAGAAACAAATGCAGCCTTTTATATAGTATACATGTATATATATATATATATATATATATATAATACATACATATATACATAGTAATAAAACGTCCTGAAATGCGGCTGACATACTCATGTGAATATATTGAATATTGTTGTCTGTTATGCAATATTTCTTATTTCCTCCTCAAACTCACAATCAACCTCTAGAGACTGATATGGAGATGATAAGAGGCATTTCATACGTCGGGGTCAAGCTCCTATAATCTCACCAGCCGGGACGTTCCCACTTGAACAGAGTTCTGCTGCATGGACCAGCTGGCGGCGTCGAACACCAGCACCTTCCCATCGCTCAGAGCACACCACAGCTTTGGGTTCGCCCCGCCGTCCAGCTCCGACACACCCAGCTGACCTACAGACACACACACAACACACTTCAGCAAGCTGGAAATCACTACACAACCACAGTCTCCTTTCAGAATGACTCACTTCACAACGGTTCACTTACAACAGAACTCACAGGGGCATTATGGGTGTTTCTACAGACACAGAGGGAAACACACATTTTGTGCTGAATGTTTCTGCTGCCTGTCCTGATCAAATCAATAATGAAGAATAAAAATAGAAAAAATAAAATAAAATAAAGAATAGATGGCTCTAAAAAATATTTTGCATAAAGAAAATAAAGCATATTTTAAGGATCAATACCGTTTCATGTCTATCAACCACAATTTCCCCTCAATTCTCAAAAACATATTCCAATCAGCAAGAATTTAACATTACCGGTATGTATAAACACTTCACAATATAAATGATATCTATTTTTTTGGTATTACAGTAATGACAATTTAAAGAGAAAATCTGCTTAATTGTCAAAAAATCGAAGCTTTCTTAATGCAAAATGTCTTGTTTGTTTTCCTTTGGTTTAGTGGTGGAATGTGAGCTGTAAGTGTTTTCGCTGGTTTTTATGACTATCTTTTACAGTTTGTCACTCATCATCAGACATGGAAAGAAAACATGTGACTTTTGCCATTACATTCAGCTGAACCAACAGGAGCTGGACAGTGTTTTTATTATGATACGCAACAGAAAGACTGAAGTATTCTGATCATATTCTACAGTTACTTGACGAGTCCTGATATCAGTGCTCTTGTGTGAAACCCAACAAATCAAACTGAGAACTACTGCCCTAGCAACCCCCCAAAATATCCTAGCAACCACCTAAAAATGCCCTAGCAACCACCCGGAACACCCTAGCAACCACATAGCAACGGCCTCGCAACCACTCACAACACCTTAGAATTGTGGTTCTGGAAAATCACTGGCAGTGTGAATGAACCAAAATCAAACGAACCCGGGTCAAATCCCGGGTCACTTTATCCGTGCATTTTCCCGAATCTCTGTGTGACAGGGGCTTGATTAATCGTACAGCTCTACTTCAGATGCTTCTAAAAGCGTTGGATTTTGCCTAATTTGAAGTAGGAAAAGGATTCCAGATGTGTGTGACATAAAAGCAGCTTTCTCTGATCTCGGATCTCCTGTGGTTTTGAACGCATTAGGACAGAGTCAGAATCCAGTCTGTGGAATTCCCTGTAACCTGACCTGGCCTCATGTTTGTTTAGCTGACGTTACACCTTTAACAAACAGCCAAGAATTAAGAGCAGCAAAGCTTTCAATCCTTGCATGAAGAAGAATCACTCGTGAGCAAAGGTTTGTGTTGACTTGCAGTAAGTCAGTGTGAGGAAATCCTAACGAGATTAATGTACTGTAGTGAGTCATGAGTCGTGGAAACATGTCGTAATCACACAATGAGAGGACGGAGGAAATAACTGAGCATGTGAACTCTGCCCGAAGCAGTTTCTGCTCAACCGATTTGGAAACCTGTTCTCCTCCATGACCACAGGAACAGTAACGCAACATCCTGAATCTATAAACATCTTCACGTTAGTGGAACTACCCGGTCAAACTGGTTGAGCTGTGAGACGCTTGTAAGTGAAAGACACTTGTTAGGAAACCAATATATGTTTGCTCTTTGTCTTAAAGGGATAGTTCACCCCAAAATGAAAACTCTGTCAGTAATTACTCGCCCTCATGTTGTTCCAACCCCGTAAGACTTTCGTTCATCTTCGGAACACAAATTAAGATATTTTTGATTAAATCTGAGAGCTGGATCACTCCTCCATAGGCTTCTTCAGGGATCGAAACTGGCCGGCCCAGAAAAGTAAAAAATCGTTAAAATAGTCCGAGTGACTACAGCGGCTCAACCTTAAGTTTATCAAGCGTCGAGAATACTTTTTGTGCGCAAAAAACAAACAAAAATAACGACTTTATTCAACTCTTCATTTTCTTCTCTGTGGGCCTCGAGTGAGTTCTCGTAGTGTAACAGCGCAGCGCTTCTGGGTTGTACGTCACACATAGGCTCACTATACGCTTTATGAAATTAAATAAACTTTTTGTCAAATAACTTGCTGCACAATGAGCTTTAGCCTACTGTTAAAATTAAAACATGGATTATTCCTTAAAGTCCCTGTAAAGGCAATTTAAAAAAAATTGGAGCCCCTGAGGCTGGCCGCTCCTAACATGGCTCCTAACAATAGAGCACATTCACATCAGTTTGCCGCTCAATCGCGAGTTACTGTCAGCACTATTATTAGTAACGGCCTACAGATTGCTAGCTAGCTATGCCTTCGTCACGGAAATGCGTACTACCTGGATGCGATCACCGGATCAGTACAAAACAGATCGGTGTCCTTATTTAAATTTCCGAAAAACGATTAAATCAAGAAGAAGTGGATTAATTTTGTGAAGAGCCAACCTTGTTGGAGAGCTGAGGATCACCGCCAAAACCCGCCTCTGTAAGTGATCATTTTACACGGGATAGTTTTATAAACTTTCGTCGGAGACAACTGTCTGGGATTCACTGATAATCCGCTGTTACTGGTGAATGGGGCCGAACCGACTCCCGCCTCAGCCTTCATCCTCCCGTCGCGCCGACAACTGGTGCCATCATCGGCAGTGTGTGCCCACCGTGCGAGCATCCATTCCGGCTGTAGAGTTGAGTGTGGCGTCGGCGGCAGCTTTCCCGCGAGTGGGCGTGGTTTCAGCGCAGCCAGTGGACACGCCCCCAGCGTTTGAGAGCAGAGACTACTGCTCATTTCTTCAAGATTTTGATAGCTTATTTTATGTACTTGCTGGCTTTTTTTATCATTCAAATTTGGCTGGGTGACTAATAACACATTTTTCTGTGGTGTGACAAACTCAAAACATTTTTACTTAATTTTTACTTTACAGGGACTTTAAGAATTTCAGTTTTGATGATAATTTATTTGGATTAGTGTTAGTGTATTATTACATTGGGACATATCTAAATTCTAATGTACAACAGTAACATATTTCTGTCAAGTTAAACCGAACTTTTATTTTGACGGGTTGCCGTGAAAACCTTTTGAGTTTGTGTGTTTATGTCATGATGATAGTTTTTCTCAAATGAAGCGTGAAATGATCACGAAGTGACTTTCAGAGTGGATCTAGAGCCTGGAGAGGAAGTTCATGCATTTGTGTCTTCATATAGGCCAAAAAACAGCGCAAGCGTCACACGTGCTTCAGTGTGTGTGTGTGTGTGTGGTAAATGAAACTGCGCGTCGGCGGCACCATTCATTCACACAGAACATGCAGGATTCGTATTTAAATAGTCTTTGTGTTTTAATATTCACACACACTAGTCTACATCGCGATTTGATTTCAAGTGTACTGAACTGCTTTCTATTAATTCCTCAAATTTACAAATTCCGTGAAATTCCGCGTTATACAGTAAATTCCTTTTTTATGACTGGATTTCGTCAGCATTTTAGGGGGGGCGGGGGGTCGTCCCCCCCAAAACAATGGTAGGGGAAACACTGGTTATTCTAAAACTGAACATACATTTCTTTCATACTTTAGACTATATACATTGAAATTCATTTATAAATAAAACATTTTTTTTATATATAATTCAGAATGTAAAAAAAGAAGCAGGAACGAACTATAGACATATCCTATATTGGATATTAACATCCAATAGTGTAAATCGCGGCAGCAGCTTCAGGTTGGTAGTCCAAGGCATTGTTGTCTAGCTGTACTTCCGGGGTTCTTCCCACCGGAGCCTCGCTTTCGATTTCAAAATGGCGGCTGCGTGAAATCAGCGTATTGGCAAAGCCCGTCTACGGAAAGCCTGGCCACTCCCTATTAAGTCCTATTGTACCTAATTTTGGTTGTAGTTCCACCAGAGTTCCACTGGGGGCGATCGTCCGAGTGCAAAATGAATGGGAGTCAATGGGGCTAGACGGCTAAATTTGTCTCTTTTACCCGATTGTCATTGAGAAATCTCAGATTTGAATGTAGGTTCTGCAAGTTCAACATGGGTTATAGGTCGAAAGTTGAATGAACGAGTGCTTATGTCCTTTCGATTTCTTACAGGTTGAGTTGTTGTTGCCCATAACACGCTAGCATTTTGCTAATGGACGCTGATTGGTCAGTGAAGGACTGATTACGACCAGAGACACCGCTTGATGGCATCGTGGCATATACGATATGGTACAACTACAATGCAGTGCAAATAGTAAATATAAGATACAGTGAGTAATAGTAAATAGTTTAGTCAATAAAATAAACAAACAGTATACAGCAAATAAAATAGTAATGAAAAGGCTATATAAAAATATAGGCTATATAAAATAAAATGACACAACCCTGTCTATTTTTGTTAAATTTCAGTTTTATTGATCAGTAAGAGACATTATAACAGTATTAGTAGCCTAAAAGGTATATTATAAAACGGTTAGTTCCAATCCTTGATTCTGATTGGTCAATAGCTGTGCTTTATTCACGATAAAACACGGCTATGACCGCTTCACCCAACGGTTCTATGTATCACTACACAACACCCCTAGCAACCACTCTTAGCAACTTAAACAGATGTTTCATCTCATTGATATTGTTCATTTAAAGCTAGAGCAGAGCATTGTGAGAGATCGAGTAAGCGAGTGTACCTGCATTTACAGTAGACGTAGCATTTTCCTTCAGGTCAGTCCTATATTCATAATAAAAAAATGCGTTTGAATGTCCGCTGCATATTTTGTCCTTTTAACAGTCATGGGGTTTTCCGTGCATAACGTTAGTCATCTGTCAGTTGCGTCTGTCTTCTCCGTGATCACAAGTTCGAGTCCTTTCAAAAGCCTTCTCTACAGACTCACTCACTCACTCACTCATAAAGACAGTCTTTGCCGCCATCTATTGGCGAAATAATATATGTAACTTCTGTTGCTGTTCACGTTCCGGGACTATTTTTTCCAGCGGAAGGCAGGCTTTTAGTGATTTTACTTCATGAAAGTTGCATAGATACATATTTTTCGGCTTTAATATTTTTATTGTGTGGCAACCGTTTTATAAAAGCAATAAGGTACTCGAGGCAAGTGCTGTATCGTGAATAAGTAACGGCTGAAGGGGTTGCAGGCACTCCGCTTCGCGTCGTGCCTAACAACGCCCTCCAGCCGTTACTTATTCACGATACAGCACAGCCTCTCGTACCTTATTGCTTACATAAGTTATACAAGACAATAAATAAAGTAAACCATTCAGACACAGCAGGATACAACGTTAAAATAGCCAAAATATAAAGTTATGAAACTTCACTTTGCCCTCAGCCAAAACGATTTGCCAGGGAACAAATGATACGATTAATGATACCAAAGATTGCCCGTTAGATATACACAAGACGAATTATATCTCATGTTTAACCACTACTAGAGAGAGACATCAGAGCCGGCGGCGAACGTCAGAAGCACTAGCCGAGGAAAGGCTGTTCCAGGCGGGGTGCAGAGCGCTGAGACCCGGTGAAAGACTGGTCCTCACAACTCCGAAAACGTCAGATCAAACTTTTAAATAGGCGCTATCTTTATAAATAAACCACAGATTTGATCTTTAAACAACTACATTGTCGACTGAAAAACTATTAAAACTACATTTCGTGACACAATAACAGTAGTATTTTTAAATTTCGCGGCTTCTCTCGTCTGTCTATGCGCGAAAGCACCAGTGAATGAAGGATTGCCGTAAAGCAGGTTTCTGGTCGTATGATGTGTATGACGTCATTGACATTTTAAAAGACTTTTTAAAGCAAATAAGTGACTCTAAAAAATCTAACACCCAGTAATGTGTAATTTTGTTGCATCTTCTTTCGAATACAACATTCAAATTACTAGACAAAAAATTATATCCTGAGAAAAGTGGATTTTTAGGGGTATTGCTCCATAGACCTCCATTCATTCTGCACTCCGCCTGTGAGCGCCCTCATATGGACCTAGAGTGGAACTGCAACCAGTTCAGAACCCGGAAGTTTAATGTGAGTGGGAGTTCTCCCCATATTAGACATTCTCTGGTATTGGTCATGTGTGTGATGCGTGTGACGTACAACCCAGAAGCTTTGCGCTGTTACACTACGAGAACTCACTCGAGGCCCACAGAGAAGGAAATGAAGAGTTGAATAAAGTCGTTATTTTTGTTTGTTTTTTGCGCACAAAAAGTATTCTCGTCGCTTGATAAACTTAAGGTTGAGCCGCTGTAGTCACTCGGACTATTTTAACGATGTCTTTCATAACTTTTGGCCCGGCCAGTTTCGATCCCTTAAGAAGCCTATGGAGGAGTGATCCAGCTCTCAGATTTAATCAAAAACATCTTAATTTGTGTTCTGAAGATGAACGAAAGTCTTACGGGGTTGAACAACATGAGGGCGAGTAATTACTGACAGAGTTTTCATTTTGGGGTGAACTATCCCTTTAAGAGTTCAAAATAAATACTGTGCACAAGTCACATGACTTCCTTTATTGAGATGTTTAGCAGAAACCTGGCAGACTTACCGGGCGTGTAGAGCAGGACGTCCACCGCTTGAGGAGACGTCTGGTCCAGAGACGGGTTAATCTTGTGTTTGAGGGTCTCAGATGTCGTTTTGGGGACCATCATGGGCACTATAACAAACCCAGAGACAGTCAGTCAATTTACATTTAATCAATTAGCAGAGTCTTTTAGCCAAAGTGAGGACTAATAGTCACTAAACACTAAAAAGGTCATTTATCAGATGTAACACACACTGTCGGTGACGCATACACTGCTCACTTATGGCAAAAATCATAAACATGTTTACTGTATCACAATCATTTAACACAATTAATCATTGACTTTTGAACTTTAAAAAATGAACAGTGGATTCTCTTTAAACATAATTCAAAAACAAATCAATAAAAATGTAAAATGATCATAAATAAGTCTGTAATATTTTTTTCCGAAAGAAATTATTTTATTGATCAAGGATGCATTATTTGATCAAAAGTGACAGTTAAAGACATTTAAAATGCCACAAAAGATTTATTTTTCAAATAAATGCTGTTTTTCTAAACTTTCTATTCATCAAATAACCCTGGAAAATAAAATGTATCACAGTTTCCACAAAAATATGAAGCAGCACAACTATTTTGAACATTGATAATAATCATAAATGTGTCTTGAGCATCAAATCATCATATTAGAGTGATTTCTGAAGGATCATGTGACACTGAAGACTGGAGTAATGATGCTGAAAATCCAGCTTTGATCACAGGAATAAATTACACTTTACTGTATATTCACATAGAAAACAGCTATTTTAAATTGCAATAATATTTCATAATATTACTGTTTTTACTGTATCAAAAAAATTAAGGCCTTGGTGAGCAGAAGAGATTTATTTCAAAAACATTAAAAAACCTTGCCAACCCCAAAATTTTGACCGTTTGTGTATAATTATATTTATATTTAAATACACAAAATAAAAAATAATAAACAAAACTTAAGTAGATAACAGTGAATAAGATCAACTTATGTTAAGTGCACTTCCACAATCTATTAAAAACCCTAAATATTTGTATCTTGATACTTTTGTTTTCATAATCGCTGGAAGCCAAAATCATAATTGAAAAAACATTTAGATGTTTACAATCAGATACAGTGAGCAAACACCAATTTATTAAGTGATACATGTTTAGCCATAACAAACTATTTGAGCGATACACACCCTCAAACTTCATCTTGTCGAAGTAGGCCAGTTTGCTAGCGGCGTAGATGGCTTTCTGTGACTGCAGGCTCCCGACCACGGCGTCCATCAGCAGGGCGTTAGTCAAGGCCTGCTCCATGAACTGAGGGTCCTGTGCCAGAGATATCACAGCACACACACACACACACACACACACGATCAGGACAGACACTCCTGACCCTCGGGCCATGAGCTTCAGAGGAACAGCCGTTTGAGAAGGTGAGAGCAAAACCCAACACTACTGTACTAAACTCACATCGAAACCAGTCTGGTATCTACTCAAAACTGCAATGGTGTTATTTTACACAGTATTCTGGTGTTCACAGTAAATGCTGATCCTCACAAACTCTCTTTGCTTGTCGCATATAAACTTGCATTTAGGAACATTTAGGTGGACATACGTTTTCAGGACTTTTAGACCGATTTGTAACAAGAAGGGTTTATAAAGCTGTTGTTTTCCTCCAGAATAAAAGCTCAAGGGTTTAAAGCTTTAAAGTAAAGAATTTAAGTATAATTTAATTAATAAAATGATCATTAATATTCTTCTCAAATATTCCTTTTTATTTAAAATACAATTGTATTATTTCAATAGTAATCATTTTTGTCTTCATTTTTTATAATTAGAGTTAAAACAATGATAATAACAATAAAAAAAATATTTAAAAGCAATAAAGAATGTTGAAATAAAAGAAATTCACCATGTGAGATGTTTTCTTATGACATATTTATCATATCGCAGTTCAAAGCACAATATGACAAAAATCAGATCAAAACACCCTATTTTTTTTATTTATCATGCAGCCCTCTACTACTAATAGGTTACTACAATTATTTTTTATAATTAGAGTTAAAACTAAAATAACAATAAAGAACAGTTTAAAAGCAAAAAAGAATGTAGAAATAAAAACATTTTTTTAAGTTTTCTTATGACATGAAATGTTTATCGCAGTTCAAATTGCAATACGATAAAATAATCACAACAGGACTATATTTCTTTTTATCAAATCGTGCAACCCTATACTGTAAGTAAATAATTTGAAAATAAAACAAATTGAAATTAAACAAAGATGAAATATTTTATTTGTTTACCTGCATGTCATGTGACCATCTGACATCAGAGAGCCGTGATCATGCAAATTAGTTGTAATTATTGAAATATTATAATTTCAAATCTCTGGGGGAACTTCAAGAAAATGATTGATTGATTGGTTGATTGGTTGATTGATTGATTAATTGATTGGTTGATTGGTTGATTGATTGATTGGTTGATTGATTGGTTGATTGGTTGATTGATTGGTTGATTGATGATTTTATATAGCGCTTTCATCAAATATTTTGTGTGTAAAGTGGTTTGGCTGACAAAAACGTTTAGGTTTCCCTGAGCAGATGAATAGAAGATGACAGTGAGAAGATGAATTTGGCACACAAAAAAAATAATGCAGTCATCAAACCTTATGATCGTCGGCCATCTTCCTCCCGGCCCACATCTCTTTGATCATCAGGTGCCAGAGGTCACACTCCGACTTCAGGTTGACCTCGAACGACTCCTTCCTGAAGGACGTTTTGATCTTCAGCGACGGGATCCTCAGCAGAAGGAAAGGAGCAGAAGATATCTTCACATCCTGGATGAGGAGAACAACATGTTTCATGTTACATGAGGAAACCAACAATCAAATATGGGTGCCTGGCTAGATGTTAATTAAAAGTGGATTAGGTTACTTTAAAATGAAAATTAGCCCATGATTTGCTCACCCTCAAGCCATCCGAGGTGTACATGACTTTCTTCTTTCAGACGAATACAATTTTACAGTGTAAATATCAGCAGTGCGTCGCATTACTCGCATAAGTTGCACTTTACATGTAAGTGGAATCTGGCCGGAAGCTAGATATTTTACTTTATAAAGTTTTAAATATGAATATTTTTCTTACACAAACTCATTGTTTTGCTTCAGAAGGACTTTATTAACGTGAGCCACGTGAAGTTCGTTTATGACGGATGGATGCACGTTTTTGAGCTTCAATCTGTTGGTTGCAATCAACTGCCATTATAAAACTATTTTTTAATATAACTCCAATTGTTTTTGTCTAAAAAAAAGAAAAGAAAAAAAGAGTCATATACACCAAGGATGGCTTGAGGGTGAGTAAAACATGGGCTAATTTTCATTTTTGGGTGAACTATCCCTTTAAGTGATCCTCACCTCAATATCTCTGAATTTGGTGATCTCGACGTATCCCGGCCGGCCCTCGGTCAGCAGGAAGAGCCTGCGCTGGGTCATGGCGATCTTTCCCACGCCGTGGCTGGTCTTCACGGACGACGAGAGCTTGTAGACACACTCGCCGCTCTCCAGGTGTTCCAGCGCGACGGCCGGCAAGTCCACGTCTTGAGCCGCAGCTTCAGTGTCCTTCCAGAAGCTGTAGAAGAAGCGGAAGATTTCAGGATCCACCTGCTTCTGCTGGCCTGCGTGGAGGAGAGATCCAAAAACACCAGCGTTTTATTCTAGAACAAGTTTTTTATCCTCTAAACTTTTCTCCATGGACCTCCTAACACTCCCTTGCCGACCCCAGTTGAAAATCCCTGTTCTAGTCAAGTCAAGTCACCTTCTTTATATCGCACATTTACCAATATAGACTGTTTCAAAGCAGCTTTACAGTGATATATCGGTTTTCATCTTTCCACTTTCTTGGTAAAGAAAACACATTTTTACTCAAATTAATCTAAATGGATTTATTGTGTTTTGGAACCAAACTCTTCATATATTTAAAAGCCGATAACCGATATATTTGCCGATAAATCTAAATCCAAATTTTTATATAATTTTTGAGAGCCCGAACATTAAAAGCCATGTCCTAAACACACAATTATGATGGTCTTTTTATAACTTTATGTCGCCAATATGACAGACATGCGCTTCACATGTTGCACTGAACCATATTTTCTTTTTATGAAGTGATTCCAATCATATTTCAAGCAATTTAAAACCATCATGGCGAACTGAAGTGTCTCAGCTGAAGGAAATTATAAATTATTTATCGGATTTAATATAATCGACCAAATTTTCTTATCGGGCCGATAACAAAAACATTAAAAATGAACATATATGGGGCGATGGCGATATGGTGGCCGATGTATCGTGCATCCCTAGAAGAAGGAGTGTCACATAAAACATGAGTGTGTGTGAGTAAATGATGATAGTTATTGGAGATCTCATGACATCTGAGATAAGGATGGTTCTTTACTTTATGGCTCCAAGCAATAAATCAACACGGTAAAGAGCGGGATATAAACGGCGCACAGTATAGCAAAACATTCCCTTTAAACCTGTCTGACAACTACAGAGTTATGCCTTGCATTCTTTCACATTTTTAAAAAATAAATAAAAGAATGACGAGTCATGCCGCGTATGAGTGAGAAATGCATCTCGACACACATGACAAACACAAACTTGTCC